TGTAAACTGCTACTGTATGTGTACGTGTGTAAACTGCTAGTGGATGTGTACGTGTGTAAACTGCTACTGGAAGTGTACGTGTGTAGCATATACGGTAAATTATTTCTATCTTAACACCATACTAGAAAACATTACACACTACGTAAGTTGTGAAGCTTTAGCGAATATGCTGGTAAGGCTATCTATATGGATAACCCTACTTCAAGTTTTAATTAGATAAAAAAAAAATTGCTGAATCTAAAATTAGTATCTACGATTTTGAGAAATAGTGGGTTGCTTTTGAAGGGGTGGGGGTGAGGATGGGTTGCCCGTGCACATAATTTATCTAGAGAGGTCAGACACCTGCTACATGGGATGTGGGGGGGAGGGGCATCAGACACACCTGCCACCTTGATGGGTATGTAATCGCATATGTTATACCTGAAGAAATTAATTAATGCAAGGAGAAGAAGGCGGCGGAGGCGAAAGCTACGAGAAGGCCAGCTTAAAAGCTTGCCCGTACACGAGTCTAAAAATATGCCAGAGTTAAAGAGCTACCTTATTCCAAAAACCCGAAGCAAATGAAGGTCTAAGCATTGCGTGAGTTTGTACTCGCATTGATGTCGAGGCCTTAAAATTAACTGTAAACAATACACGCAGTGTATGTAACAACGGCCTCTTTAACAAAACAATTAGCATGCATTTAATATGTACATCTGTTAATCCCGCATTGTAAAACTTTGATCATAATAAATGCTGGTTAAAGAAAAATTGCAAATGAATACGTAGTATACAATTAATGTATAAAGTAGCATAGCAATTCGACCCGTTCTTCAAATGAATTCATTATCTCGGGTATAGAAAACGAAAAATAAAAGTATTAAAGATGTAACACAACTGTTGCCGTGAATAAAAAAAATAATGTAAATCAATAGCACCAGCAAAAATATTATTCAATAGCCACGAGGGGTCAACGAACTATGACAACAACACGAAGACGTCACACAATAATAGACAAAAAATTCTGTGTGGCTTAAATAATTAAAGCAAAAATTGTATCCTATATGGAAAATTTTTCAGACAGTCGTATTTGCAGTTCTCGGAGAATGAATTTCCCAGTTTCACTTTTTTTTTAGTTTTACAAAAAAAAATATAAAAAAATAAAAAATTTTAAAAAATAATAATAATTTTTTTTTTTTTAAATAAAGGAAACTTTGGTGCTTCTGTGATCGTCGGTCAGACTTATCCCCCCTCCACCCACTATTGTTACAACAACCGAATCAAATGTCATTTTGATCAAACTGGGCATATGTAGTGTGTTGAGAAAAACAAAGACAAATATTGATGAAATATGCTCGCAACCTTACCCTGTCAACCCGAGATTTAGATATAGTGACTATACAGCTAGATCTAGATATAATTTATATCATAAACCTAGTTAAAAATAGGTAACTTCCACACTAGATTTACGAATCCACCGTCCAATGTAAATGATATGAATAATCTAAATCATTTTCTTTTAATTTTAAGTAAATAGTGTGCGACTTTTAGATTAGATTCGTCCGCAAAAATAATATTTAACTTGATTTAGCAATTTTTGTTTTAATTTAAAACTTACCCGAAATATAATATATCCATACTGTACTGAACTCAGCACCACATATTTTCCACAAGACGCGAAGCTCGTAAAAAAAAAATATTCACAATCCACCGTTCATTTGAATACCGAGGGCAATAATTATCGCGGTGTGAGGCACGGCAGACGAGACTCGTCCACGAGACGGTCAAAGCGGAAACATGTCTGAGCCGGGCAGACGTTGTGAGCAGCCGAACGGGGACATGAAAGAGGGGAGGGGGCGAAGTGTCTGAGTGCGTCTGCGGGGGACGGGGAGGGGGGTGGGGAGGAGGAGACGCGGGGAGGGGCGCGCCCCAGACTGCGACGAAAAGGACACGGGCGCTAGGACAATGTGTCCCTAATCCTACTTGTTTATTTTAGCTCAGTTGTCGTTCCTGCCTTGCTGGCCCCGTCAGGGGCGTAAGTTGAAAAAGGAAAATGACGTGGTCAGCGAAACAAAACAAAAACAATACATAAATTGAAGCGGACTTTTTAAAATTGTGATTTGACAGCAGGGATCGATTTTATGGGAGGGGGTAGAGAGGGGTAAGACTGAGACATATTTTCAAGTTTTTATTTTATACTTCGTTATTTCAGACAAATTAAAACCAGACTTACCCCCCTCCCCCCACCCATCCGAATATCAACAAGTTCCCCAATGTAAGACTATATCCATACAATTAACAAGACCCCCCCTAGTCAAACGAGTCTGCTTATCATACAACACCTGGTATAACTCAGATGTCTAGCACGTCCGCGCTCTCCGCCCATCTGTGAAGGGTACCCGACTTGAAGCTTGGGAAAGTTAATGTGACCTAGCATACATTTGTGAACACTATGTCGCCAGTCAAAGAATCGGCTGAACTCTACTTCACCAGCTCTTATGACCGTTTTTTTTTTTTATGACCGTAGGGCCGGAAATTGTTAAACTTTGTTAGGTGAAGTAAGATATGTTCAAAATAAAATCATATCATCAACATACGTAGTACACCAATACTATGCTTTCAAATCCCAAAATTCCCACAACATAACACAATATATATGCGAGAATGTTCTCATATATGGTGTCTCCAGTTATCGCTGTTGAGTTACCCCATACGATTTGAATATCATGATTTTCCAACATATACGACTTATTAACGTCATTTACCAAACCCATGTGCCTTATCAACACCTTTAACCAACACATGTACAAACTCTAAAATTAATTTAAAGAAGAGATCCTCAAATGGGACATCTTACTGTAAGAAAAACATGAAACGAATACTTGTGACCAAAATACACAGAAGGACAAACGTAAAATACAAACAATAACCACTTAATACTTTAATGATCAGGTTGGATTTCCATTTACTTTTAATAATGACGACATTCGATATTTCAATTTACTATATAAGTTAAATAAAGGGGGGGGGAGAGGCTAGACTGGCTAAACGGATGCCATCTTAAATTTCAATTTTTTTATTTTTAAATCCTTCGCAGTTTTTGATAACTGTGTGTACTTGTTTGTATATAATAAAGTTTGGCATTTTTTTTTCCGATGGTGTACGATTCATCTAAAAAGACTAAAAAATTTATATTTAGCTATTTTCTAATCATGTTTTAAATTTAAAACAAAAAATTTAATAACCTTACCAGCGTTCATAAAAAACAGTCGATCATAATTTTAAAAACGCAATCGAGGACCTCTTTCCCCCCCCCCCCCCTCCCCCACTCCAACCGCACACGTATTAGCCTAAACCGCCACCCAGTGGACTAATTCGTAGAATTTAACACCAATACCTCGACGTGCTAGACTTTGAAATTTCAGCATGTGAAAGCCTTGATTTACTACACAGATCAAAACACCTAAAAATCGTTCACTACCAGAGTTCATTCCGAAGAAAATCTACCCCCCCCCCCCCCCGTAAGAAATGGAATATATATATAAAATATATACTTTAAACAGTGTCTCCGCCCCCCCCCCGTGGATTAAACACATTGATTCAATTATTAGTCATATCTAAACAATGGCATAGATGCGTGTATATTATATATCTATATATACACATATATAGGGCTATATATCATAAATGCACCTCTCATCTCTCTATATATAATTTATATAAGACATAGGGTCTGTATCACGACCTTCCACATTATTAGACCTATAGATACATTTAGATGTCTGTAGCTAGCTAGTTAGACCCGTACTTGGGCACCTATAGACAGATTAGCATATACGGTATGTCTATGGGCAGTTGTTAGTTGTAGACAGTAGCATATACGGTATGTAGATGTCTTTGGGCAGTTGTAGACAGTAGCATATACGGTATGTCTATGGGCAGTTGTAGACAGTAGCATATACGATATGTCTATGAGCAGTTGTAGACAGTAGCATATACGGTATATCGATGGGCAGTTGTAGACAGTAGCATATATGCCTACGGTATGTCTATGGGCAGTTGTAGACAGTAGCATATAATGGTATGTCTATGGGCAGTTGTAGGCAGATTAGCATATAAGGTATATCGATGGGCAGTTGTAGACAGTAGCATATATGCCTACGGTATGTCTACATCAAAGTAATTTTTAGCATTATAGGGCAATCAAACTCAACTACATCAGTTCATTATGGTTCTCTATATTGAATTAGCTCTACGTCAAAATGGTTTCATTAATAGATTTAGTAGTCAGAAATAGGCTAGACACCAAATGTTAAATGTATATAAAAAAAAAATAAAAAAAAATAAAAACACTACGTCAGCATCAAGTCTAAAAATAACCCTATTACCAAATATTCGCCTAACCCGAAACTCCTAGTCCTAACTTAAACACTTCTAGGTTCTTGTAATGAGACAGCACTACGTCTAGTAAAGGCTAGTTCGAATATCGATTATCAAATAAGGTTTATGTTAGTTGGCGTATGGTATTATAGTTGAATAACCTCGGAATTAAATTAAAAACATACCAGAAGATCAAGTTTGAGAATACGTCATGTGTCTATAACTTAAAATTAATAAAATAGCCACGAAATATAGGCCTATTGATACACAATTTAATTAATAGATCTAGAGATCTAATATTTATGAAAATTTGAAAGAAATCTTACCAAAAAACAAAAAACAACAAAATTATATCTTAGCTTTGTACATAACACTCTCCGTCTGGTGATTTTTTAAAAATAGTGTGAATCTTGATTAATCAAGTATCGATATGAACACATACAGACTGATTACGTTATACTGTTATAGACACGAGCTGATTAGTCCCTATCTGATTAAAACTAGTCTGCCGTCTAGCCATTGGAGATATCGTCTGGCCCGGAAAACCAGACAAAACTGAACAATCGAGATTTTCACCGCTACTGGCTCAATCTAAATATAGATTAACTTTAAAACACCGATAAAGATAGGATAAAACGTACCAACCAGCACCGCTGTTGAACACACAGTTGTTGTTTTTGTTTTCTTCCACGACGAAGTAGAACACGAGACAGAAAATACACGTATTATTTTGTTGTTTTATTTTTACTCCTTTCAGTCCAACACCAAACGTAACGTCAGTAGCAGACGAGACTACGACTGCACAGCACACAGACACACATCTCGCGAACGTATGGCTTGAAGCCGTTGCCCTCTTTTCGCCGTTCCCCTCGTCTCGCCGCTACACACCATGCTAGAGTCGGTGCACTAACACAGCGCGAACAGACCCATTGCATCGCGCGTCGCGAGCATTTAAAAAAAAAAAAAAAAAGTGGTGGGGCGAGCGAGGGGGGAGAAAAAAAGTATAAAATTAGCGGGGAAGGAAAGGAGAGCCGGCGAGGAGAAGACGGTGCGGGGTTGGGACGGCGGAGGGAAATGACGACATAGACTGTGTATTGCTTCTGTAATCTCGCTCGAACTACAGGTTTGAAGGAGAAAATTTGTAACAGTTGAAAACCGTTTCTCCCCCTCCCCCACTCATCTTTCCATACGTGTGCGTCTGAGGAAGGCATTCGTTTTTTTTTTTTAAAAGCAAGGTCTGGGTGTGTTAAACTCGACTGCTGAATTTATATCAAAATTAATAAATCCTGTCTTTTTGCTTTTAAAATATTATAACTAAGCGTTACTGATACAAGTTAGTAGATTCTGAATATTTTATGAAAACAAAATACTAATGCCATATAAATTAATCCTAAGCTTAACATTTTCATAAAGTGGAATAAATACAAGCGAACAGTTGGCATATAATTAAAAATTATTTCTAAGCTTTGATAATAATCATAAATTTAACGTAGGCACTCTATAAATTTATAATAAATGTTTTAACCCAAACCGTTACCTTTAATTGGCAATCATTATCTTCTAACCAAGATGAAACGAACTAAAAATAAATAAATAATTCCAGATGTTAGTTTATGTCTATTACGGTGACAATCATGGAGCAAGAGAGGGTGGGGAGGGGGGAGCGTCGAATAAGCCCTTGTCAATATTATAAACAGCAGCAATACTCAAAATAAATATAAACAACATATAGCAAATTAGCGATTTCTATGTCGTCATTGGCGACAGAGCACATCAGAAGGGATCTGCCCCCCCCCCCAACTTAACAATTGAAATATATTGGGATATATACTTTAAAATAAAAATTACAGACACGATTTTTAAAAAAGTATAGCAATATATTTTCTAAAAAACTAAAATGTGTAAATTATATTACAGTTCAGTTCACAGGCTCCAGTTCGTAGGATGTCATTGAGTCCACTCAGCTCTGATGGGTACCTGACCTATGAAGTCACTGAGTCCACCCAGCTCTGATGGGTACCTGACCTATGAAGTCACTGAGTCCACCCAGCTCTGATGGGTACCTGACCTATGAAGTCTCTGAGGCCACCCAGCTCTTTATGGGTACCTGACCTATGACGTCACTGAGTCCACCCAGCTCTGATGGGTACCTGACCTATGAAGTCACCGAGTCCACCCAGCTCTGATGGGTACCTGATTTGAGTCGAGGAAAGTAAACACGGCTGCACATCGTGTTCACCACACTATTTCTTTATATGCCGAGGTCAGAGAAACAGAACAACTCTACTGCATCTGCCATCTGTCTAATTATCAAAGGGCAAATTTACTTTTTAAAAACCAATTAGCCCTAATCAATCTAACTTCTAACCGCATCATTCCCAGCTACTCTACTTCACCTGACAGTGTCACGACTGAAAGTATCAAATTTCTACAAATCCATATCACAACTTATACATTCTTTCCATAGCACGATTGAAAACATTTACTAAATACGTGTAGGACAAACGTACACTACGCCAATTTCACATTTTAAAACCGTATAATATAAATTTACTTAAAATATGACACAAAGGATCATATAGTGTGAAACGAGTGTGTTTAACATATGAAATATAGGTACATTATCCTAACAGGGAAGGCGAGGTCGAATGGTAGAGTGTTTGTCTGCTAAACCGAAAGTCTCGAGTTCGTATCCCTGAGTCCACCGCGCTCTGATGGGCAAGCGACTCATTTTAGAGATGGGAAAGGCGGCTGACCACACCATCCCTTCATATTCTGAGGTCACAGAAAAAGATAAACTCTACTTCACCTGCCTCGGGGGGCAATCTAGGTCCCCAAGGAAACTTTAAACAGCGATTTTTTACATTAATATTCGCTTCTAAAGCTTTCCGTGTTTTCGCAGGAGGATGGTGCACTATAGTAATTAATTGCAAATCAAAATAGGCATTGGAAAAATAATTTAATTGCAAAAGAATAATTTAGCTCCATTCTTACATAAAGTCAAAACAACGTATGCTGTTTTCTAAGCGTCACACATAATTGCAGAAGATATATATATATATATATATATATATAAATATATATATATATATATATATATATATATATATATATATATATATATATATATATATATATATATATATATATATACACGTATGTATATATGCATACACGTATGTATATATGCATATACGTATGTATATATACATATACATATGTGGGTATGTATATATTTATTTACGTATAGACTGTAAATATACCCCTGTTAAAAACACCTTTATATTCCTGCACATGCATTCGATAAAAAGGAACAAAAGAAGGCAAGAGTGAAAAAAAAAATATACTATGCACGCGTCAATTCAGAACTAGCAGAGAGGCTTTTCCCTTGTATCTTCTACACGCAACCCTACCCTCCCCTCCCTCCCCCTTCCCCCCCCCCCCCCCCGTACGTTATATTAAGCACGAAATGATTAAACCGAAATCTGCCGCAGACCTATCTTCTCGACTTAATAGCTAAGCATACATGCACACAGGCCCACAGCGATACAAACACACACACACATTCTCACATCTGCTATAGCCCACCCCCCCCCCCTCACCTGCTACAGCACCCCCACCCCAATCCCCACACACATAGAGACCCCCCCCCCCCTTTTCCTTAATGCACATATTTTTTTTTAAACCCTGTGTGTTATGCATTGCGCATAGGCTTGGAAGTGTGCACGATAAATAACACTAAGAGACGATTGCGCATTGAGGCATGTTCTGCATAGTGCTGCGCTGCGATTACCAGACGGTAACTAGATTTTATTGGCCACTGTACACACGAGCTAAGCTTGTACACGTGATTTGTGTACGCATTAGAGAGCATTAACATGCTGATGTAGTGTACATTATCACACCAGAAAGCGAAAATAGGAATTAGCGAAGATTTACACAGCACACATGAGAATAAATTGACTTCGCACACATATACAAATCACTGCACATAAAGTATGACACAGTGCACATACATCGACACAGTGCATAAACAAAAAGATTAACACAGTGCACATACACAAAGATGGACTTAGTGCACTTAAATTGATTCAGTGCACATACATAAAGTTTGAATCAGTGCACATATATTGAGAGGGTGCACATACACAAAGACTGACTTAGTGCACATACGTTGACAGGGTGCACACACACAAAGAATGACATAGTGCACATACATTGAAATGGTGCACATACACAAAGAATGACACCGTGCACATACATTGACAGTGTGCACATACACAAAGAATGAAACATGGCACATAAATTGACAGTGTGCACATACACAAAGAATGAAAAAATGCACATACATTGACAGTGTGCACATACACAAAGAATGACACAGTGCACATATATTGATAGCGTTCACATACACAAAGAATGAAACAGGGCACATACATTGACAGGGTGCACATACACAAAGAATGAAAAAATGCGCAAACATCTACAGTGTACACATAACAAAGACTGACACATTGTACATTCATTGAGAGGATGCGAACACACAAATAATGAAACAATGCACAATTATTGACACAGTGCACATACACAAAGATTGACGCCATGCACATAACAAAGACTGACACAGAGCATACACAAACTCTGCACATTGCACATACACATAGACTGACCCAATACACATACACACAGACTGACCCAGTACACATAGACTGACCCAGTTCACATATACTGACCTAGTACACATACACATACACTGATCCAGTACACATACACATAGACTGACCCAGTACACATAAACATAGACTGACCTAGTACACATACACTGACCCAATACACATACACATACACTGACCCAGTACACATACACATACACTGACCCAGTACACATACACATACACTGACCCAGTACACATACACATACACTGACCCAGTACACATACACATAGACTGACCCAGTACACATACACATAGACTGACCCAGTACACATACACATACACTGACCCAGTACACATACATATACACATACACTGACCCAGTACACATACACATAGACTGACCCAGTACACATACACATACACATAGACTGACCCAGTACACATACACATACACTGACCCAGTACACATACACATACACTGACCCAGTACACATACACATAGACTGACCCAGTACACATACACATAGACTGACCCAGTACACATACACATAGACTGATCCAGTACACATACACATAGACTGCCCCAGTTCACATACACATAGAATGACCTAGTACACATACACTGACACATCAAATACACACAAAGCATCCTCGCATTAACGCACGACTGAAGGGCACCCTAAAAGAAAAAAAAAATCACCTAAAGCATGTTCAGCAGGTTTGTCGCAGATGTTGGGCCATGAATTTTTCAGCCGTGAAAACAAATGAAGGGGATTGATTCGGCGCACGGGGCAGGCAGACGGGGTTAGTGTGGCAGACGGCTACAAGTGTAACCGTCGGCTGCTGGGGGAATGGCTGGTCTCGTTTGGACGGGGTTGGTTGGACTTGTGTGTGGGAGGTCAGGGGGTCAGATGGTAGACTTGTGAGTGGGGGGGTCAGGGGGTCAGATGGTAGACTTGTGAGTGGGGGGTCAGGGGGTCAGATGGTAGACTTGTTGAGTGGGGGGTCAGGGGGTCAGATGGTAGACTTGTTGAGTGGGGGTCAGGGGGTCAGGTGGTAGACTTGTTGAGTGGGGGGTCAGGGGGTCAGATGGTAGACTTGTTGAGTGGGGGGTCAGGGGGTCAGATGGTAGACTTGTTGAGTGGGGGTCAGGGGGTCAGAGGGTCAGGTGGTAGACTTGTTGCGTAGGGGTGGGGGGGGGGTTACATGGGTAATCTAAGGACTTAGCATTTGGAA